TAGTGATACCTGATGAAATGACGAAACCCGACAAAAACATAAGTTTCGTCAATTGACGAATTGACGAAACTATAGGATTTCGTCAGGTTTCGTCATTTCGTCAGGCATCACTAATATACAGCTTTATTATAATTATTTTTAATTTCATTATTTTATAATTTTTAATCATACATATTGATATCTAACGGTACATATTTTAACAAATACTTTTGCTAAAATTATTAGTGGGTAAGTATATGCACAGTTATATTTAGTTTTAACATTATTGTTTTATTAATAATAAATATTTTAACATTAATTATTAGATGGTAAGCATAAGCTTGATTATAAGTTTTAAATCATAACTTAATGACATATATTAATAAATATTTCCGTTCAATTATTAGCTGGTAAGCATAAAGCTTTATCATAGTTAATTCTAAAATTATTTTTAAGTTTTAAACCATGCATTTTATATCTGCTGAAATATTTTTTATAAAATGTTTTTGTCAAATTATTAGCATGTAAGTATAAGCTTTATTCTATTTGTTTCTAAAATTATTTTAATTTTTGAACCATGCATTTTTATATCTGACTACATATATTTTATCAAATTTTAATTATTTATAAATTTATTATTATTAATGAATTTTAAATTGATTGTACTTCTCTATAATTAATGATGCATTTAATTAATTGTTTTGGTTAAATTATTAGCGGGTAAATATTGATTATTATCAAATGATGAGTATTTTTATCTAATGATATTTAATATATTGACAAATGCTTCTGTTAGATGATTAGCTGGTGATCATAAGCTAGTAAGTACAGTACAACTTTTATTATTTTTTATTTCTAAAGATATTATTTGATAATTTTTAAATAGAGAATGGTTCAAATATCAAGTTTAAGCTCCGGAACACTTTTCCGTTTGCAAAATCATTACCTGATCACAATTGGGTCATTTTAAATAATCAAAATAACTCGGTTAATTATATTTGACCCGGTCATTAGCTAATAATTGATTTATTTATATTTATTATTGTTTTTTTCAAACTATTGTAGTTATGAAAATCTTAAATGTTTTAAATTTGATATATATATATATATTTTTTTTACAAACATCAACTTACAAAATAGCAATTCTTTTGATTTCTGGTTATATTTTCACCATATCTATTTATATTTTATGCATTTTTATTTCTGATTATTCAACAATAAAATTTTCTCAATATTTAAATAAAATCATATTGATAATGCTCTGTTCATTTTTGATATTCAAAGCTATTTTCAACTCTATAGACTATTAGTAGAGGTAGTAAAATGTGATTTTAAAAATCACAATTTCCTGATTTTTAATTGTTTAATGTATCATTATTGTTTAGTAATTTAAGTATATGGGAATTATAAATTTTATAATAAATAGTAAAAAAACATAAACATGAAAAAGCCATGATACCAAAATTTTAGTAATACTACTGTTTAGTGTTTTACGTGAAATAAAAAAAGATTTAAAAATTTATAATATTTTATTTTTTTTTATAATACTTAGCTCATATCATTAAGGCTGATAAGTTCTCTAGGTCATTGCTTTTGAATTCATCAAGTCCAATCAGGTGGTGGCAATCAAAATTTTCCGTGGTTAGCTTGATTACCATGTTTCTCATCGCAGTTCTTTCATTGTATTTCTTCTAATCTCCAAGAATTCATTACAAAGTAACAGTAATATTTTGCAAGATAGTTTACACACATATATTTGTAAGGGATAATTTTGATTGTGATCTAAACAGCAGATTCGATTACTAATAACTGGCTAAATTTACAAATCATTTTGCCAAATTCGGAATCAAAAAAACTCTGAACTTGCTATACGATCTTTGAATTTGATGTTTTCAAACGTCTCCTTCAATATAACTGGGTATTGGTTAAAATCGTGCACAAGCACTACCCGATAAAATATATATATAGTAAATAAATAAATATACTGAAGATATTTAAAATTTTGCAAGTTTGGTATATTTCGATATATTTACTGTATATTTACTATATATTTACTGTATATTTACTATATATTTAGGGAACTGCTATTCGCACCATAGATTTTTGCTATTCGCACCATGGTATGTAGATCACGACCAGAATTAGTTAGAGTTAGGGTAAGTAGTTTTTCATAATGTTAGTTACCATGGTGCGAATAGCAAAAATCCATGGTGCGAATAGCAATTCCCTATATTTACTGTATATTTACTATATATTTCCAATACAAATTATATCTTCTATATATAAAAATTTTTATAGGGACTATGTTTAAGTACTCTTTACTTCAATTTTACTAAAGATTCATAATACGAAATATAATATTAAATTTTAGCCAATCAGCACAACTCTGATAAAAAAAGACGGTTTCGACGGTAAATTTATTTGACCTGGCAAATTGAGCACCGACCTATTAATTTAGGTGCTTAAGAGCGTCCTTATAAGTAATCAGTTTTGTTATTTTGATTACAATCAAAAGTGTAAACCTTGGATTTTCAATGTCAACTAATATAATACTGAATGCAGAAAGAATTAATTGATTGATAGCAAAATTATATATTTAAAACATAAATTAACATCAATAAAAATAAAAAAAATTGAATAAGTATAATTATTTTTATAATTCTTTGTTTTTACATAATATTGTAACAAACTCAAGTGCTTTTTTAAACCAATAAAAAAATAATGCATAATAAACTATATAAAACAGGTTTTGACGGGCTGAATCAGATAAATACTAAATGATAAACTTGAAAGTCTAAAGTAACATTTTTCTTTGTAGCATTCTAATACCTTTAAATATTTCAGGTCCATTTCAGTTTCATACATTTTTTAATTTCTATCCTATATCATCGCATACTACGCATATTACATAATTCAGTAAAACCTCCATAAGTGCATGATCTTGGGACCGACGTGCACTTAAAAAACAATAAGAAAAAGTGCATTTACGGAGGTCACATATAAATTTGGGTTCGAATTTAACGGTTAGAGAGTGTGTGCACTTATATAATGTGCACTTATGTAGGTTTCACTGTATCACGTGAATTCGTGGTCCCACGGAATTACAGTATACCTAGTATCATTTTCCACAAAAAATTAAGCCCTAACGTGGCTTACTCTTAACCCTAAAGATTTTATTACACCTATCTTTCGATATAATTAGACAAAAAGCACGAGGGGAATGTGAGAGAGTTACCAACTATCTCAGTATTGGCATAAAAAATTTAACCCTCAAAAAAATTCTTTAAGTTAGTTTATATAAGGCTGCTGCCTAGATTAGAGTTAATAGTTAGGTAATTATATATTAGAATCGTTCAAGAGAAGCTTTTTGTTATTGTATGAAAGGTGTTTTTTTGTGCAAATTCTTGAGAAATAAGCATTTTTTTAACACAAAAGACTTTTCCTAATCATGTTACATTACACAAACAATGTGAGTTAAAATTTGTATGGTAAATGTCCCACGGACATGCAACGTCAAGTGGTAATGTTTAATAACAGAATAATGTAACTGCTCGCTTTATAATAGCTGTAGTACGGACGTGTGGACTGTCCTGAGACTAGTTTATTACTAAAATCACTGACTAATGAAATAATTTCTATTTTTTTAGGCGATACTAGATAGTTATTTCGATTAGTAAAATCATATGACAGGACCATATGATTTTACTAATTTAATTAGTGATATGATCTACTACGATCTTGGTATATAGGTCAACACTGAGTAGCAGTGGCCAGATTCATATTTATAACTGTCAGTACGTTGTGCCGCACAGGAATAGTACGATCACTATTATTTAAACCACTATTTACTGTATATTTTATTCTAAATATCTGAGATTATTTTTACAATTCATTAATTATTCAATCTGCTATTGATCGATTATTTTGTTGCGCTAGTCCAATTATCATAAATTGTATAGTTTTATACTTAATCACTCAAATATAGCATTTATTTGTTGCAGAATCGAGTCATCAATGATCGAAAGTATTTTTGTCATTACCTTATAAGTATTTAGCATGTCATGAAACCGAAAACCATAGTTCTTTCCAAAACGAACAAAAAAAAACTATTCCACAAACATTATGCTTTCAAATACGATTATTATTACCAAAAATGTTCGATTACCAAATAATCCATATCACGGCCTAATAAATATAAAAACCAATGAGTTATAAGTCCGGCCTAATTGTTGATCATTTAGCCAGACTTGAAGTAAAAATAATTAAATTTTGACCAAACTGATCGACAATTTTGACCGGAATTATTAGTCATTGGTTTTATATTTATTAGATAAGCCGATATGCAGTAAAATTTTGCAATTAGCTTTTTGGTACAACAATCAAAATGTTTCACAAAATCCACATGGACTATATACGTAAATCGGAACCAATAAAATAATATCAGTACGATCTTATTAATGTTCGCTGTTTATCTTTATCCCGATTTGCAGGACATAACGATAAGTGTACCAAAATTATTGGCGAAAGTCTCATAGGGTGAACATTAAAAAAAAGTTGAAAAAAACCAGCCCTTTCACATTTCATGTTACACATTCATGTGATCGTATTGCCATAATATTATTAGAGATTAGAAACTAATTGTTTGCTTTCTTCGTATTTAATTATAATTTTAACTGTTTATTTTTTGTATTAATGATAAATGATTGTAAAAAAAAAAAAATTTTTTTCCAACCAATTTTATTATACAACCTTAATTTGATAATTATTTGGACAAATAAATGTTTTTTCTACTCAAAAAGAAGCTATTTTAAACATTAATTCAAAAAAAAAACAAAAAATCGACAAATCATAGTTGTTATTAATGAACAAGCTGTAACACCAAAACTTGTTTTTGGTAAGGAAGCAATTTATTATAAATAAGATACTATAGATGTATTTTACCTGATGATTATAAAATCTGTTTGACCAATAGACCAATAATCAACATAAATTGACAAATAATGCAGAACATTAATACATCCTTAATAAAAAAAGTGACTAATTTCTTGAGAAATAAGTATGCCTCGAAGTTCATTGTCGGAGTCAGAGTTAGAGGAGAAGCAAATATCGAAATTATTATCTAGTATTTGCTGTGAAGCATTAAGTTGATATCCAGATGGAAATAATGCGAGACTCTGCACAAGATTCGGAGTATTTGAGAATAAGATAGGAGTTTTGTCAAAGTTAATTCCAGTGCCATTAAAAATATAATTTTGATCGAAAAGTCTATGATTCCTATGATTCTTCTTTGGCCCACGTTTTTTACCAGAATCAATAAAAATACACTTTAAATTGTATAGTGTACAATGTTTACAAACAGCTTTTCCAGAACATTTCAGATGTTTTTGTTGGCAATTTGTACATGCCTTAGTCACGTAAGGACCTCGTTGATGCCTTCGTTGACATAGCAAGGACATGATCAAAAATATTCTATAAATCTGATGTGATATTAATAATTTACTAAATTTATGAATATAGCAGAAGATAATTAAATATAATAATGCGAATAGACTGATTGTTGATGAAGGACAAAATCTTCGAAGGTTGATTTAAATGTATGAAGAAATAAATAAAAATTATAAGGATGAGAACTCAAAAAAAGTACTTATATTTATATTTGACAAAAGAAATAAAGAGGATTATTTTCTGCCAAATAATCTGTTATAAAAATTCATATGCACCAGTTATCTTTGTGACATGGTATGTGTAACGTTATAAATGACACAATAAACAGTCTTATCAATAAAGATAGCGATAACGGATCTTTACTACACTTCTCCAGTAAACAATTTCCTTATTTAATACGAAACTCACTGTTTGTTTTCTTACTTGTGTTACATTTCTGTATTCTTAATACATAGTATTATTATTCGAAGAATTTTATTCATACTGTATCGAAAGTTTGACCATCAGACAGATTATGAATTATGAATGTTAATATTTCTGTATATAATGCACTATCCAACCAATTCTTGTCGCTATTCAATAAAATGTGCAAATTTTTACTCACATAAGTTGTGTTAATGAAGTGGCTAAATAAGTTAAACCAAAATCGCCTGGTGGTCATATAATGCATGTCCGATAATTTTGTTATGAGTCATGATAGATGTTGCAACTGCAGATAATCGTTTCTGGTTATCAGTTATAGTTTGATAGATAACAAGCGAATGTATTTACGTATAATTACAATGATGTAATTTTATTAAATATCGATATCATTATTTATAACAATAAAAATAGGATTTGATATTCAGTTTCCGAAATTTGCGCACTCAGCGTCACTCTGCGTACTTATTTGTGTACAGTTCGAGTTCTTTTATCGTTCTCCAAGCGTTTTTTTTTGTGAAAATTAAAATAATTACTGCATTATTATGTTTCTTATCTATGATTCTATACTATACTATATTCATGTTATTACACAGATTCCAGATCCGGGTTGATCCGGATTTCTCTTTGATTGATTATATATCTTTTTGGCTTTTTTTAAATTAATTATTACGACCTTTTAAACAGGTAGAATTGTTAACGAAAAGTAAAGTTGTTGGTTAAAGGAAAAAAGAAGAATATAGAAGAAAATGGAAGTAGTATTACAGATTGAAAATTTTGTTTCTAGATTTTGTAAATAAAATATTTATTTTTCCCTTATTTTATGATAGTGTTGGGTTCGGAAGATTGCGACTCTGTCGCTTCACAATTCGGGTAGTTTCAAGAACGCTGAACTCGGAGATTATTGCGAATTGTGTCACCCTCGATATAATCACATGCTAATTTGATTGGCCAAAAAATATAAACAAAATCAGGTGTGCATATCAGTCACATATCATATGATAGTGTGCTAGCATGTGTAACCGTAATGAATCTATTATGAAATCGTGAATTAGTCGTAGCAAAGCTGAGTATTTTTTTTTTCTCTGTTTTTGTCGTTTATTTTACGCCTATTACTAAATTATTTTTATTTTTTAGGTTAGTTTTAATTTCTTGTACTGTTTGAATCATTACAGCATTAAGTGCCGGGTTTTTGATATAATTGGAAATGCGAAACAAGAGTAGTGAAGCTAGGTCTTTTTTGTTAGTGTCTTTGTTGTGTGTTTGAACTATTACTAAAGTTTTTATTTTTTTATATCAGGCTTCTTTTTTTTTAATAATGTTAACCATTCAATTTAGTCGTGATACAAATTTCTTGATCCTGAGTGATATACATTTTTCCCTCATATTTTTGGGGTAATATAGTTTGCTCGTATTTGTATTTCGCAACATTCGGATGATTTAATAATATTATTAACCAAATCTCCTCTATTTAAATTCTAGTAATTGACAGTCCATTATCATATTTCGACGGGTTAGAGGATGATGTACTGTTAAGCGACGTAGAGAATGGTGTGCTGTATTGGTGGTACGGATAGATAGTCGGCAGTGGAATCGTGTAAATATCAATGAAATGAGGGATATCATGAGATGAATCATTGAATGTAAAGCTTTAGTGCAATTCATTAAGCTACAACCAATTTTATTTATTTGTGTTAATAGTTTTTTTATTGGTGAGGGATTTTTATCAGACAGTCGATATTTGATCTTTCTTTTAATTGAGATTTTTTGTATTAATCTATTAATATACATTTATTAATCAACTGCGCTTTTTTTAATTTATTCTTCATTTATTTATTTATTTTATTTTTTTATTTAACTAGGAAGTAATCGGGTCTATTTATTGTTAATTATGAGGTTAGTTTTATATAATTTTGATTTTTTTTTTGTATGACATATAATTTAAAAATACTAATAAATTTTAATTTTTTGAAATACCGTAAATTCTCAAATAGCGTTATTTCGAATTTTGGCCTGAATTAAACTTAATTCGGGCCAAAATTCGAAATAACACCCATGATTGCTATTTCGAGAATTTACAGAAGTAATAAGTAATAAAAATGAAAAACTATTAAATTCTCCAATTTTGACAAATTATTCTGAAGGAATCTAAAATTATTTTGAGGGTAAAAATTAATTTAAATTTTTTTTTTTTTTTTTTTTAAAGAAAGGTCTATTCTCTATCTCTTTTATTTATAGTCAATTATACATATATAAGATGAATACATGTGAAAAAACTATATTATGGGAGATGGGGATAAGAGTTATTTTACTCTTGACCTATTCTTTGCTAGAATAGTCATTAAACCTTTAGTTTTCAAAAAGATGCATTAGAGAAGTTAGTCCATTATTTATGTATTTTACTAGTTTTTTTTCTATAAAAAATGGATTCAACAGTTTAGTTTTGTTTAGTATTGAAGTCTGTATTGGGGCTAGGGTTGGAAGAATTGAATCATGACTTGTTTTTCTGAAGACTAGTCAAATTGTTTTGTATATTTCTGTAATAATGTTATAATATATTAGTGGAATGTATTTGTGTCTATGGTTATTTGTATTAAAAGGTGTTAGAGTGTTTCTAATAATGAGTCTTAGTGGTATTCGCTTAGTTATATGTGTAGTGATGAATGTTTTAACAAAAACATCCAAGTGCAAACATGATATTTCTAGTTTTCATAAAATTTCATATACTGTTTGTCTAATTAGAGTTGAAAATTGTATATAATTTTGGACGCAAGTTAATAGATGAACAATATCCTCAGAGGCACTGCAACATTTTGGACATAAGTGGTTTGGATATTTTTTCTTATTTCTCCAATACAGTAGTAGATAAGTTGAAAGTTCTTCAGATAGCAGTTTAATCTTGAAATTCTTGATTGCTGAGAATGATGGGTCAGTATTTAAAGCTAGTAGTTTTTCTTCATAAGAAATATATTTTAGTGTAAAAGTCCAATTAATATTGTTTTGTAATGTGTGCCAGCCTGAAATCCATTGTTGACAAAACTATAACAACTGGTTTGTAATTTGATAAATATGTTTTAGAGTAGTTTTTAGCAGATACCACATGGTTTGTTAAGAAGTCTTGGAACAAAATGATTGTATAGAAAATGTTGTAATGCTAGGTCTAATGAGAAAATTATGTCTGTGGTTTCTTTGATTTTTATATTTTCATCAAATGTAATGTTGAGTTTCTGATTACATGAGAGCATTTTTAGGATTAGGAGAAGGTATGTGTACTGTTGCTTGTCAAGTGCAGAATAGTTATAAGGCTTAATAGAAGTTACCAAATTGATAAACATAGTAAAGGTAGGATTGTCTGTACAAATGTTTACTTCTGTATATGAATTGATTGTAGAAAGAATAAAGTTTAGTAAATTAAGTATCATACTTATATGTGAAGGCCATTGGTAAGTAAAGCAACCAAAACAGGTGTTAGTATTTTGTATATAGCATTTTGCTATTATTTAAGAGTTATTGTTGGTTGGAGGTTAGGTAAATTGTTAATGTTTTTATAGTGAAGTTAGCTTCTGTTAATGTTTTTTAGAAGTTAATTGGGAAGTTTTCAAAAGAACATAAAGGTCTTTCTAGTATTGAGTTTACATCTTGTGATTGCTCTTGAGTTATAGTTGTTAATTTAACATAATTTAGTGCTCTTTTAAAATCCACAATGTCTAAGTGGATTTTCTTTTTGCAGTCAACCTGCAGGTTGTATAGTAATGTTGTTATATTGAAGTAGCAATGCTTAGAGCAATATGATTGATTCCTTAGATTATAGCCTGTGCATACTGATATTGTATTATTTGGCTTTAGAATGTAATATTAAGCTTTGAGAAATTTGTTGTAAGGATTATGTATTTTGCCAATAGTAGAATTATCTGTAATTATTTAGCCTTTTTCTTTAAGATTCCATTAAGACAAGGTGTAAGAGTTTATATGTGAAAATGTTAATAAAAGATTAATAGAGACTGCTATTAAGTCTTGAACTATAAGAAACCAGTGTGAACAGCATCCTCTCAGTATCTTTTTAATATTGTGATGAAAATTGTTCTATTTTAGAAGCTTTAAGTTGGTTACATTTAGAAATTGTTTTATGCTAGTGATGTTATGATTGTTCAGCTTTTCTTTAAGATAAGAAGCTCTAGAATGATTTAGCAGAATTTGGTTTATTAAGGTTCCAGTAAAGGTTTTGGGATAAGATCAGTCATCACCATTTTGTGAAGTTTGTAAATTTAAGACATGAAGTATGAGCACCATTTGGCTAGTTTGTATATTTAGTTGTGAAGCTGGAAAGACTAGAAGTTGGGTAAAAATAAAAATGTTATTAATAGCTGAGTCTTGTAGTTGTTGTAGTCATAGCTTTAATAAGGAGAAATCAAAACTATGATGGTTTAAGTTTTTTTGGAATATTTTTACTAAGAAAGAAAGTTGAGCCTGAGCTAAGTTGCTTAAGGCATAAATATTTGAGTTAAATAGAAATGAGTTTGGAACTCTCTGAACCAGCCTTGCTTTATGTTTAACTAAACTAGTGCAGGTCTTGTTAAGTGTGTTGATTTGAGTATTAGAAAGAAATATGGAGTGTACCCTATAGAGCAAACATGGGAAGATAATACTATTTATTATATAGATTGCTTGTTTTTCTGTTATATGAGCAAATTGTAGTTTTTTAGATTGATTATTGCCTCAACTATAATTTTTTTTTGAACAAGTATTTGTTTTTTGTTAGTAGAGAACCATGCTCCTAAATACTTAAATGGTGTTTCATTGGCAATTGCTGTTAATTGTTCATTTTTAAAAGTTATACTATTATCTGGGTCTTTTGAGTTTGTTGTTAGAATTAACTTAATAGGATTAACTTTTATATTGGCAAAATTATAGAAGGAAGAAGCTGTGTAGAGAATGTTGGTAAGAGAGATTTTGTCAGGTGCAATTTACAAATAGTCATCTATATATTGTATTACTGAGGTATGAATTTCTTTTGAGCAAATGGATGAGATTTCTCTAGTAAATCTTTGATATTCCGTATGAATTCTAGATATAAGAGAATTATAATAGATCTTTCAAAGAAGTGATGAGATTGTTTCTCTTTGATCTACTCCATCTTCAACAGAGTAAGATTGAGTTGGTTTTAAAGTAGTAATCACTTTGTTTGTATAATGATGAAGCAAGTATGATAACAAATTAATTGCTTTGTTGGGTATATGTATTCTTTTAAGTGATTTGCAAAGAGTTAGTATATGAATTGAGTCAAAAGTTTTTAATATATCCTAAGACAAGATCCAGATCTCTTTTTGGTTTATAGTTGCATCTTCTAAGATGTAAATGAGTTAGGAGATGGGTTGAAGTGTTGATTGATAAAGGAAAACAGCAAAGTTGTGAGGAAAAAGCACTTAATTGCAAACTAAGATGTCTGTCAGATGATTTGTTAAAATTTTTGTAAAAATTTTTCTGGTATAGTATATTAAAGTAATTGGGCAGGTAGTATTTAGTTCGTAGTTATATTGTTGTTTTTTAAGAATTAGCCAAATATTAGCCTGTAACTATTAGTTTGGGACTATTTCTTGTGTTATGCAGCTATTGAAGATATTTAGTAAAACTGTAAGAGCTGAGGATGACAATTGCTAAAGAACTTCATTTTCAATTCCAGAGGGTCCAGTTGCTTTCACTTTAGAGGCTAGATTTATTGTTTGTATCAGTTTAGTCATTAAAATAGGTGAGAAAAGGGTATTGTAAATATCATTCCATATGTGCTGAAGTGAAGAGTAAAATGGTTTCTATTTTTCCTATAAAGAATTATTAGAAGAGTTGTTTTTCGTTTAGTTTTTGAAATAGTATGTATAGTTTCTTTGATCTTCTTTTGATTGGTAATTACACTGTTAGATGTTATGATTTTTTTATAGCTAATTGGTTTTGCTTGCCTTTGTAAAATACAATCTAGCATTTGACTAGTATTGTCTTTAAAATCAGAGTATCTGTGATTAACATAAAACTTAATGCACTAAGTTTGTTCCTGTTTTTTTCATAGTTGTATGCTTGCCAAATTGTATGTTTATATTATTGACTTAATTTATAATGTTTAACTATAAATGAGCAAATTCTTCTTAAGTAATAGGAGTAATGCTAATTTCTGCTAAAGTGGCTGCTTTCATTAAGTACTGATTGGCCTGGGCTATTGTGTCTGCTGCTCTATTTGATAGTTGTTATAGGCATTTGTTAATGTTTTTAGAACTGAGTAGAGCTTTGTTGCTTTTAGTAACATTGTATAAAAAGGCTATAGGGCTGTAAAGGTATAAGAAATGTGTTTATTTATTGCTTCTTTTATTTTTAATGCTCAGTAGTTCCATGTTCTATTGATATCATCTTTATTCATGTTTGATAAAAAGGTTTTATGAGAATTAAATAATATTTTTACTGTATTTGCAAATTCATTCTATGTATCTGTTGTAGTTTTTTCATATAGATGTATTTTTCTTTTCTTTTTTTTGTTTCTAGAAGCTTTTGGCAAATAGAAATTGGTATGTTATGTTGTGTTTAGTATATGATA